GCTACAAGTACAGATGCAATCAGTCTGTTACAAGTTAAGGTCAAATACATTACAAATTTCTACATATCCTGTATGGAGGAAAAGGAACTGAAATGATCTCACTGGTCTTCTCCCCATGGCCCCTTACAACCTTCACTAGGAGTATCACTGTGTGTCCACCACTAGGGACTTCCACAGGAAATGGCAGAAAAGGAGGCAGCCAAGAATGTGCTGGAAATATGCACCATCTCTGAAGCAGAAAAGCAAAATTAAAGCAAAACAGTCAAGCTGTCTTCTTACATCTTCCCACCTCCCTAGCTTTTCCCCAGTGAGATCTCTTCCTAATTGTACAGAGGTATAATTAAAAGGAATTGCTTCAAGGAACCAAGGAGTGTTATCATAGAAAAGTAAAAATGTTCCAAAATGAAGAGAAATCATAGGCAAAAGCAGTGCATTGAAATTCATCAAAAAACCTTGCTACGTTTGTCGTATTTGTTTTAAATGTCACTATTTGAAATGTATTACAGGGCTGGCCCCGTGGCTTAGCGGTTAAGTGCTCACGCTCTGCTGCTGGCGGCCCGGGGTTCGGATCCCAGGCGCGCACTGATGCACCGCTTCTCCGGCCATGCTGAGGCCGTATCCCACATACAGCAACTAGAAGGATGTGCAGCTATGACATACAACTATCTACTGGGGCTTTGGGGGGGAAAAAATAAATAAAAAAACAAAAAACAACCTGCATACTTTAAAAAAAAGTTTGAAATGTATTACAACAATCAGCAACTTAGTGGGACGCTTGGAGAATATAGAGACATCTGAACTGCTGTAGAAATGTTACAAAAAGTGAAAGTGAACGTTTTAAGAAGGAATTCTCAAATATTCCCAGTGTTCAGATTGTTAATGGAGCTATTGATAACCTTGTTATCTAAGCGAGTTCTGACTATAGAATGCATTAAACTTCTTGGCTGTAGCCAAATGGGTGTCAGCCAGAGATGGCATACATAGTGTACTTGATAAAAATGCTATTTATTTAAAGTATTAGAGTGCCATTATGTTCAAGTACAAAGTTTCAATCCTCTCAGTAAATTTAATAGGAAGAATAAAATGTTTTAGACTTTTTAAGTTTCAGGAGGACACAGCGTACTCTCAGTGTTATTACTTCGGATAGTGTCAAATGTAAAAGCTGGTTTTGACATATTCACGTGTAAACAGAAACAAGTTTTGAGGTTGTTTCTGTGATTCTTTTCCATTATTGCATACTTGTGGCTAAGGATATGGTGACTTTGTTAACTCCTCAAACTTTAAGCTATTTCAAAAGTTTCTATTTTGTGTTTGTGTGTGTGTTATTCCTATTTAGAGAATTGAAAAGGAAAAAGAACTCAAATCATTGTATCATTATTTGTATGACGTCAGAGGTAAGATTTTAGTCCCATCTCAGCCAGTGTCTCTATGACCTTGGACGCCGTCTTTAACCTCTCCAAGCCTCTTTTTCCTAATCTGGAAATGGGGGCCATGATTCCCTAACTTGCAGAATGGTTATAAAGATTCAGTAAATAAGGTACTAAAGTATGTAGGAAAAATGAGTTCCTCTTCTATGATAAAAATGATTTTATTATCCTTTCCTTATGAAGAACATGATATAAACATATGCACGTACAGTGAAATAATATAATCCAATACAGATAAAGCCCAGCACTTATAGAACCCATAGAGTCTCTTAGCTAGAAGGAATCTTAGAGATTGTATGGCTCAATGATTCTTAGCATTTGTTTGGCTTATGGACCACTTTGAGAATATGGTGAAATTTATCATTCTCTCCCTAAAAATGCCTCTATACACAAAAATTAACGTATAATTTTAAGGGATTCAAGGACCTCCTAAAACCTATTCCTAACCCCCTGGGTTAAGGATCCTCAACTTCATTTCTCTGTTTTTAGGTTGGGAGTTTGAATTAAGGAAGATAAATTTATGCTCTTGAGAATTAAAAGTTATTTTGAGAACTATTTTCCAAAGAAGTCTTTTCTCTAATAATTTAAGAACACAGCATTCATCAGTTATTTGAGCAGTGTTCTCAGAATACAACTGCATTTCATCTATGGACTTGCTGCTTAGTCCACCTTTGGTATATTAGTGACAGAAGAGCTCTTTGCAGTCCTACACAAGGTTAAATAAAATAATTTGGGTACTGATTGAATTTCTAACATGCTTTTTCCTAAAACAAATGTTACTGCTGCATTCTCAATAAACAGTATGTGCCATCATCCAAAGCCTATTCAGGATACTGAGAGCACAAGATAATGAGACCCAGTTTCTGACTTTGATCAGGGCAAAGACTATTAAAGATTATCAGGCTCATGAGCCTGTAATAGATGAAGTCAGAGAGAGGGGCAACTCATTCAGCTCCAGAACTCTGAGAGGTCCCACGTTTAAGATAGCATTAAAGATGGGTCTTGAATGATGAGTGGGAGTTTGCCAGGCAGAGGATCCAGATATGTCAACTTCATGTGCATGCAAATTTTGCAATGCATCATAATCTTTTTAATTTAAAACAATTAACTTTGAATTATACTTATGTGGTAATTAGTCCTAAAGTATATGGGATAGCCCAATGAAGATCCATTTCCTAGTTTCATCAACCACGCATCATTATCCTCTGAGCCACAGTCTCCAAACCTCAGAGCCATTTTCCTCTGTGGCCTGTAATTTCTAGTCACTCACAAGGGCTTGCAAATTCTTTCTTCAAAGTGTCCCTGCACCTTCCTTGTCTTTTCTCTTCCTACTGCCCTCTTCCCATAGTTCTCCTTAGTCCTGGACTTGACCCTCAAGTTCCATGTTGCACAGCCTTGCCGATCCTTCCTTGTTCTACACAACCACCAAATACATTTTCTAAAATTAATTTATTCTGAAGCCCCGCTCAGAAAGATTTGCTCCAAGTTATCTAGAGGATATAGTCATCCAGTCTACGTATTATATTACTTATTATATTGTATTACGTATTACACAATCTGACCTCAGGCTCATCACCCATCTTTCCCAGCACGTTTGTGCACCATCCAGGCGAGTACAAGGCAGAGGTGGTAAGAGACCATATTAAGTTCAGGTCTCCTCTTCACCACTTATTAGCTGTTGCACTTCATCTCTCTGAGTTTGTTTCCTTATCTACGAATTATATGAATAAAAAATCAGTGACTTAAAGCTGTTTGGAAAATTAGGATAATAACAGATGAGAAGTACCTGGTGTGCTTGATGCATAATTGGCTGTCAATAAATGGTAACACTTGTCACCATCATTGTCGTCATCACCTTCCTCTGAAATTCACTGCTTCTCTGTCATGCACTTATTCTTTTCGAGAATTCTCTTTTTACCCAGGTCCTGCTTACCTTTCCAATGATTCTTCCCCTAAACCCACCTGCCCTCAGAAACTCTCTCCTCACGTCTCCTGCATCACTCCTATGTTTGCTTTACATTGTTTCCAAACTTTTCTTAAGTGTCTTGTCTTCCTAACGCAATTACGATACCTAGAGCTGGCCTCAAGTGGAGTAGACTATCATGCAAAGAGCCTTCTTGACTTCACTCTTCTTTGAGGATGTTGAGTGTCCATGAAACAAATGGAAGATTGGATAGTTGATGTCTAAGGATCCTTTCAGTAGTGATTTTTGGATTCTGAGTTGTTTAAGATCAGGGACGTGTGTTACACTTCCTCCTACTTCCCACAGTTAAGAACATTGTAGACACACTCAACTATGTGATGTTTGGCTGGCTGGTTTTCCTGAAGAATTATTGTATTCTTTGATCCCTGTCACAAAGGAGCAGTGGCTTTCCATTCTACAGGGGAGTTTAGTAGGATGTGTACCCGGATCGGAGAATGGGAACCACCCCTCCTCCCCCACTGTGACCTATAGTGAGCATATAACAGCTGTTTAATGAACAAGCACCAACCATAAGCAATGTTTCACTGCATCATTGTACATCCCTTGGGAACAAATTAAGAGCAAATGAAAGAGTCTCCAAATTTAAGGCTGAAGTTTTAGGGAGAAGTTGATGGAAAAGATTGATGGCTGATAAATTAATGACTCCTTAGATTCCACAGGAAAAGCTCTTTTTCTGAAAACTTTACTTCCTTTCCTTGTAACTTTATTACTAGGGGTAGAGAAAGAGTCCCTGAATCTAAGCCAACATTTATCTTTAATGTCCTAACTGGAGACTCTGTTCTTCACATTCAATTTGAAACAGTTTCATCACACAGCGCACCTCTAATTTCTGCCAGTTTGTTGTATCTCTGAAATCAACTACTTTGCCTTCTCGGTGGCTGACTTTCAGGTACCTGCATTTAATCTTATTGTGGCCTGGCCTTTTTATACCAATTGGCCTTCATGCTGAAAGAACCTACAGCTTTAAAGAACTCCTCTCCACCCCTCTCCCCTAGTTGACGGAGGGGAGAGGGTGCGATGATGGTGGGCAGGAAAGGAGGGGAGGAAATCAGTTAATTGCAGGCTGTCAGTGTTGTTTTAGGTGACTTTGTACTTCTTGAATTTAAGATCAACATGAACTATAGACATTTCAGGCTGGGAATTTAAATAGCAACAAAAAAGCATAGGTTTTGTCAATGCCAGGAATGACTCATCTGGTAAGAATGGTATTGTATTGAAAATACAATACAGAGAGCGGGAAAAGACTGTGGTATCTGCTCTCTTTGTGTTCTGACCTTGAGGAGAATTCTAACTTTGTTGCAGAAGTTGAGCATCTAATGTGCTGGATGCACCTGTTAGTCCTTATATATTAAATGGCAAAGCACTTGCACTTCCCTGTGATTGCTTTGTGGGTGAAATATTTTCCGCAATCTGGTGAACTGGTTTTTTTTTTAATTTTATGAATGTATTCATTTATATTTCTTACATCTTTTATTTCTCAAAAAAATATGCTTTCTCTATTTCAACACCCTGGTCTTATCATTATATCTTAGAATATGTTTAGCTTTTTATTTTCAAGGTAACATTATTATGACTTGTTTTTACTATAGAGACCATGAACCAGGCAACTCCTGCTAGAAAGCTGGAAGAGGTTCTTCACCTAGCAGAGCTCTGCATAGAAGTCTTACAGCAGAATGAAGAGCATCATGCAGAGGTGATGACTGGTTTTAACTGCCGTATACATGCACACAATGCATACACATAATGCTTTGCCATAGTGGGAACAACACTAAAGTGGTGGCCTGCCCTATAGTCTTTGATAACGCATCTGGCCATTTACCTGTAGAAAACTGAGAACATAAGTGCATTTCCTAGAAATGTAACTCCTATGTGTTACAAAGGAATTGTATATGTATATAATTTAATATCTATTCCTGACAACGGTTATGCTATGAGGAATATGGGAGAGTTTATGGGATCTGCCAAAGGTGTGCAACTAGTAAGAAGCAAAGCTGGGACCCGAACCCCATCTTGTGAGGCCAGATCATTTGCTTTTCACTCTATGCCAGGATTGCTTTGGTTTAGAGATATAAATTAATCAATGTACAAAAGGAAAAGTAGTGATAAACCATAAGATAACAAAATTGAATAGAAGACATTCGTAACTCTAGAGCTGATAACTCTAGTCTTTCACTTTTACCACCAAGCTTTGCTTTAAATTAAATTTTCACTACACCTGCATTGTTTATAGTTTTTAAAAGTTCTAATTATATATTCACATTCACTAAAGATATAGAGTGGTATTTCACCATGCAAACTGCTTATTGTAAGACTTAAAAGTGTCACTCTTTCTGTTAGTCGTGAGTTTATTTAAAAAAACAAGAGTTTCTGACTTTGAATTGAGTGGGGAAAATGTGTGGAATTAAATAAATGTAATAAATATCAGTGCCCTAATAGTGCTTTTATTCTTGAGGAAGCACATGAAATGAGCAAGGATAAAAAGACCAGATACATAAGAATCTATAGAATACTTATATTTAATGAAGCCTAGTTCTCAAAAATATAAGAAACTACAGGAAGTACATTTTAAGCAAATTCTTAGAAAAAGAGTATTCATGAAACCTTACTATAGATAACTAAGATTTATTTTATCTGGTTATAAATAGGATCATTCAAAACATCTGCTTTTAGCTCACACTGTGGAATCTAGTTTTTACCTTGCATCTGTCATGTGTGAACTTGTTATGGATATTTTATTTTAAACTGAAGAAACAGCTGCTTCAATAATTTGAAATGAATTCCCAGGAGGATCTTTTGTAGGCTAGTACTACCGCTATGTTACAATGAAAATGATTATATGATAAAATATATGTATGTGTTGTCTTTGTCTTTTGTGAAAAGGCATTATCATCACAGTATTAGCCCTTTTTAAATTTCAAAAAATTTCTAATGGGGTATCCAGTTGCACTATATTACACCTAAACAGGTACATCTAATATTCCCATACATTTCACAAAAATAACATTTAATTTTCCTGCATAATAAGGGCAATAACTCTCCTATCTTTTAAATGTAATCAATGTGTTATATGCTCCCTGCAATCACTAAACCGTGTTAAAGTATAATGTATCCAGGGCCGGCCCCGTGGCTTGGTGGTTAAGTGCGCGCGCTCCGATGCCGGTGGCCCGGGTTCGGATCCCGGGCGCGCACCGAGGCACCACTTCTCCGTCCATCCTGAGGCCGAGTCCCACATACAGCAACTAGAAGGATGTGCAGCTATGACATACAACTATCTACTGGGGCTTTGGGGGAAAAAATAAATAAATAAAATCTTTAAAAAAAAAAAAAAAAATATAATGTATCCAAACACAATTAAAATGTAACTATTACTTATTTTCTAATCCACAAAAATGCAGTTGACTTTATTGAACAGAGCTAACCAAAACTCATAAATATCATTCTATGATATGCTGAAATATAGAACTATTATAATGACCTCTTTTTAAAATGCTTTGTAACACTATGACATTTCTCCATTCCCCAATGCTTCCAAATTCTTGGAATTCCTCAGGGAAGAGAGGTGAGTAAAATTGTTTGCACTGTTTTTCTAGCATGAATAACACTTTCATGTGAAGATAAGATAGAACCCTCTCTGATGATAGTTTTAAAGCCAACTTAGTTCCTCTCCTTGGAATTAAAGACAGTATGTCTTTGAATGGGCTAATCTTCATTGTACTGTTTTGGCGAATGTGTCTTAATAATTGCATGCATACTTACTGCTGGCCATCTAAGTAAAAGCCAGCTGAGAGAATCTTGATATTTTGGTTTTGGTTTTATCTTCTTCTCTTTTTTGCCTTTTTCTTTTTTTTAACCAGAAGATCCACCTTTTTCTCTGAACAGTATTGGGGAGTGAATTGGTCTGATTCCACAGTCATTTCCTGAGTGAATGGGTGGACTGCACTCTACACTGATGTTTATTTTGCTGGATGTTCAAGCTAGAGTTGCATTGCTCCATGACAGAGCACCTAGCTCAGCTCCCTAGGTGGAGGTTAATGTGTCCACCTCAGAGAGACCTTCAAGTGGCTGGTGTGTCAGCTCCTTTTATTTCCGTTCTACTTCTCTCCACAGTGGCAGTTTACTTTACAGGGCTGAGAGGTTATTTCTACCCTTCAGCAGTTTCTCAGTTAAGCAGGTATGTCCTTCAGATCTTTGACAATAACTTAGTTATAAGACAGTCCTCCCCTCTCTCTGAAGGCCTCCTGATCTCTCCTCTCAGGCTTTTCCTCTGAATTTCTGTGTTTCCTCTTTAGAAGGATGGTTGAAGCTCCTTTCCAGAAAATCTTTAAGGCTGTCTCCACATTCCCATGAGGAGACTGTGTCTGACCAGAACCTTAGGCAGACTGTTCTGACAGCTGTCTTTCCATGGCCCTCACTTTGACAACGCCAGGAAGTCCCAAATGCTGTGCTCTCGCTAGCACACCCACTCCACACACACCATTTTACTGGTAAGAAAACTGAGACCCAGAAAGGTTGAACAACTTGCCAGAGGTGCACAGCTGATTAGTGGCTGAGTGAAGACTCAGGCAAGACTCTAGACTTGGGTACTTTCCAGTGAACCACATTGTTATTTCTGTTTAAATTGAGTGGCCAGAATGGTCATCGTGCCCTGGTTCTGCTGCCAGGTTTGACACTGGGCATCATAGCAGGGGTATAAACGCAGAGGGGTTGATTACGTGCAAGCCTGGAGGCATCCTGTTCCTTTCTGTCATTCTCGTCCTTTCCTTGCACTCTGGCATGTTCTAGGACTCTGCCTAAAGGGAGAGAGTGCTGAGAATATCAGTAGAGGGGTGGAGGGAAGAAACACGATCAATGTGAGCACAGCTCAAGTTGTTACTTTGTTGCTTATTGTTGCAGCAGAATCTTGATTTAAGGTCCCTAACATATTTTAAATATAATGTTGTTGGGCCAGCCCGGTAGTGTAGTGGTTAAATTGGGCACACTCTGCTTCAACGGCCTGGGTTCATGGGTTCGGATCCCCAGCGCAGACCTACACCACTTGTCATGCCATGCTGTAGCAGCAACCCACATACAAAATAGAGGAAGATTGGCACAGATGTTAGCTCAGGGCTAATCTTCCTCAAGCAAAAAAAAAGAGGAAGATTGGCAACAAATGTTAACTCAGAGTGAATCTTCCTCACCAAATAAATAAATAAAGTAAGTAAGTAAATATAATGTCCACCATATCAGTGACACTATAGGCAAGAAGCGTGTCTGGCAGTAATTTAGTATTTGCGACTTAACTCTCAGTCCACTGCAAATGCTTGATTCGTCTTACACTTCAGCGGCTGTGTCTCAGGCTGCTCCAACAGCAGAGCCAGGACAGGGAGAGAAGTTCAGTATGGACATACACATTTGTGCGTGTGCTCACTCATTTAAACATCAGTGTCCGAACCAGATTGTGCTTCTGAATGGATTCTAACAAAAAGAGAAAGAGTACTTGATTTTTTTTCCATTTGTTGTTGCTTACAGTCATGTGCCACATAACATTTCAGTCAACGATGGACCACATATATGATGGTGGTCCCATAAGATTAGTACCATATTACCTTGGTGTGCAGTAGGCTATACCATTTGGGTTTGTGTAAGTACATCTATGATGTTCACACAATGACAAAATCTCCTAATGACACATTTCTCAGACTATATCCCAGTCATTAAATGACACATGACTGTATTTGTGTTCTTAATCCTCTCCACCAGCATGCCATCCAAGGAACATCTTAGAGTGTGGATATACAAAAAACCGTTCATGAACAAGATATGTTTACCACCAACTACTAACTAGATTACAATAATCTCAACAGTGGAATTAATCTTAATTACATAATATTTATATCTGGATGGCCAGTGAGATAAACCCACATTTTTTTAGAGTGGGTTTAGATTTAAGGTTAGACTAGCCTCTGGTCCAACAAATGTCCCTCATTTTGGAAGATGACCAGAAAGTGGCTTTCGTATGGCTGTGTTATAAAAGCAGAATTCTGTTTACAGCAGTGACTCTCAAATGAAACTGCACGGGCATAAATACCCTACCAAAAATGCTTGTTAATCATTTACTAATTTTTAAATATATAATAAAGTAGTACTCAACTCTGAGATATTTTCTGAAGTATTTTCAGCTCATCATCTCATTTGGTTATTTCAGTAGTTATATTCATGTATGAGCCCAAATAGGGAGAGATTTTCATGAATCAAGAGTTGCAAAAAACTTATGATTAGTTTGATGGTAGTTTAGGTGTCACCCTGAAGATACTAGTCCATTCTACTGGCTCTAAAAGATCTTAAATATTTCTAGAAAATGGCCCCGCAGCATCATGTTGCTGTATGTGTATGCTGGGGGTGAGGGGTTACCCTAGACGCTAGACTGTCTCCAGAGCTTTCAGGATCATCCACAAAATACAAGATTGCAAACTGATCATTTCTTGGGGAAAAAATAAGCACATGATACATTCCAAAATCAGATTCACTGTTTTTGCTCGTTTATGCAGCCATCCTTTTTTTGTTATAAATTATAAATTTTTACTGTATTTTGAGAGTAAAAGTAATTAAAAGCCTCAGACCTCAAATAAATTAGAAAAAATATAAAGAAATCAGACCATAATAGACACTCTGGCAAGAAAAAATCAAAGGACATTAACACTGGTCTGCAGTGATCTGCATAATGTGATTGACTGATAGATAGATAGATAGATAGGTAGGTAGGTAGGTAGGTAGGTAGCTGGGCAGATAATACGAAATATATAGTTAATTAAGAAGAGGCTATATATGTAAGAGCTTGGTCTCTACCCTCCAGCCTACCTGGATTCAAATCATTGTTCTGTTATCTATCAACTATATGACTTTGGGCAAGTTTTTTAATCTCTGAGTTTGCTAACATATAAAATAAGGATAATTATACCATGGGAAAGGGATTGGGTAACGTATAAAGAGCCTCTAGAACAGTACTTGGCACATAGGAACTATTCAGTTGGACATTATTATTTTTAAAACATCTAAATTCACATTATAAGATCTGTGTGAATTTCAACTCATTTTTGTGATTACTGATAATGATTAGTTTTTTACTTTTATACAGCAAGAGATTTTCATATTCATTGAATTTGTGAAACAACGCTGGAGGAGGCTAGGGCGAGTATTGTTGTTGCCAGTTTTGCAGATGAGGAAATGGAAATCCACCCAGGGAACTGATTTTCCCATGATTACTCATCTCACCAAGTTCAGAAGCTCAGGATTCTGCTTCCAGTTTCAGGGTTCATTCTTACCTGCCACTGTTTTTTTTACTATAGTCAGTAAACAAACACAGTTTTCAAAGTATTGTCAGCCTGCCACATATATTGTTTTCACTGTACAAGATTTATTTATTGTTAGAACTCTGATAGAAATGGTATGGCTAAAGGATTGCAGTCAAGTTTTGTTTTGTATTTCTTATTTAATCAAATTCAGCATTGCCTTCTACCTTAGCATTAGAGCCAAGATAACTTGAACCCAGATAGTCATGACTTTTGATTGCTGCCCTTCAGATGGATGCATTTCTGAGAGGGGTTTTCTCCTCCCTGGTGGAGACCTTCATGCTGGGGAGCCTCGGCCATCCCCAGGAAGTGGTACCCTAGGAAGGGAATTATACAGCCTCTCTTCCTACTGCCAACCCAGAGTGGGATGACTGCCACCCAGCGGGATGGCAAAAAAGAGGAAGGACAGGACGGGTGGTAGAACTGACCCTGTGTTCTCAGCCTGTGACCCTCGCTTTTCGTTTTCAAAGACCATGATTGCTTAAAGCTATCTCTAGTCATCATTAGGAGAACAATAAGCCTTCATCATGGATTGGCTTACATTCCTCGGGAATAATATTATCAAGGAATACAATTTGAGACATAAATACCTACTTCTGCAAAACATAATGAAAATTTTGAGTTCATGGCAAAGTCTTGCCAACCCAAAGCTGTGTTTTTAAAGAAAATTATATTCCATTTTATTTCATTCTCCATCATGGCTCTGTCTTCCAACTTTAAAAAGAGCTTTGGAAGTTTTTCTCAAAGTCTTGAGACAATTCTTACCTAACATGACTGTTATTTTCTTAATTTTAACCTTTTGCGAAGGTTTTGGTTGTGAACTGAAAGTGAGACTTTGAAAATGTCTCCCTTTGCAGCACTGCATTTTTACTAGGATTTCTGCCCTGCTCTACTGAGAGTGAGGAGTTGCAGACTCTTGTGTGTGGCACCACCACAGCTCTAAAAGAGAGGAGCAAGATAGATGTAATGAAATTGTGTATGCTATTTTATTTCTTACCTTTGTACTATTTGTCATATACCCATTCTAGTAGATATTTAAACAAAAACTATAGGAGGTTAAAAAGTTATAACACTACCAAAAGCTAGATTTCAAAGGGAAAAACCCTGAAAAACGATTCACTAAAAACGGTAAAAGAGAGCCTTTAAGCATATGAAAAATTGTTGAGACTCATTCATAATTTGAGAAATGCAAATTAAAATGAAACTGAGATACTATAGCCAGAGAAGTCTA